GCCCGCCCGGCTAAGAGAAGCGGGCAGCGTCGCAGCTGAAGGCTGCATGGCAGCAAGCTGATTGGACCTAAAACTTAAGTATACCTCACTTCTTGCAATGGGCTGGGTCCCTGGAGAATTTCGAAAAGGGAATCCTACCCAGTAAATGCAGCATTCCAGGAACACCTTGAAGGAAATATGCGAGTCCTTTGGCAAAGGATTCCTTTAGCAGGGAACTATTCCTGCAAAGGGTGCTTTTAGGGTACCTGATTTTATGGGCAAAGCGCTTGCTTCTGTTTTTTTGTTTATATTTTTGTTTGTGTGGGTTTTTTTTACACAAAGCGCTTTGCCTCTTTTTATTAATTTTTTTTTTAATAAAATGAATTTGTTTTTTTAGGAAGTGCTTTTTTCTCTTTCATTTTCCTGCAAAGAACCTTTTTCTCTGATTGTTTTCCTCAAAGCGCTTTTATCCAATTCTTTTTTTTTTTTGTGAGCTCCTTTGTCTAATTTTTTCCTGCAATGCGCTTTTTACCTAATGCAATTTTTCTGCCAAGTGCTTTTGTCTATTTTTCCTGCAATGCGCATTTTCTCGAATTCATTTTTTCCCCGCGAATTACATTTTTCCTAATTTGTTGTTGGTTGGTTTTTGTGAAGTGCTTTGTATTTGTTTGTTTTTGAGAAGTGCCTTTTTCTAACTTATTTTTCGTTCCAGCCCCGAAAACGCTATATTTTTTAAAAAAGAAAATTTCCCTGCAATGCGCAATTTTTTATGGCGGAAATTTTTTGCTATGCGAGTTGTAAAGTCTCTTTTCGCAAAACAGACGTGCCCCGCCTCCCTCCTAGGGTCGAGTCTGGGTGTAGCGGGTTTTTCTTACCACGTTGGTCTCTAAGAGCCTCGGCGTTCGTCGGCGGCTGGCGCCCGCCGCGCCCCAACTCTTTGTTCCCGGCCGGGCGCGGGCGCACTGAGAAGGGTCTGCGCTAGGAGGAGGGCGCAGGGAACGGGTGGGGGCGCGTGGTGCCGCCGCGGCACTCGTGCAGGCGGGGATCGCGGCAATCAGGGATCGCGGCAATCAGGATAGGATGGGTATGGGAGGCGGCAATTGCGAACGTGGGCTTGCCGGATCAGGGGACACGCATCGGAACCCCTCTCCCACTCCGAACCCCGGGCACACTTACCTGCAGCAGCACGCGGAAAATGTACCAGCCGATGATGAGCAGTTCAGCCGAGGCTGCCGCCACTGCCGCCATGGTTCAGAGAGTGGGTGGTTGAGAGCGAGTGCTGCCAAAGGCTGCGGGTTCGCCGAAGGCCGCTGGTCTCTCGGAGTCCGCTGTTGGGCGCACTGCCGCTGCCGCCGCGGCCGCGCCTTAAGTATCCGCCCTCCACCCAAATGCGCATGCGCGTTTGGGGGGGGTCCAAGAGAGGGGGTAGCTAGGGGCGCTCCTCATTCGTTAGGAGAGGAAAAAATAATCCATCTGCTCTTTCCACACCGACCCCCGCCTCCTGAGTTTCATCTTAGCCCCTTTCCAGAAGATTCCGCCGTGCCCGCTTTTGAATTTTAGTGTAAAACGAGGGGGCTGCAACTCTGAGTAGCACATAGCGCAAGGGTAGGGGGTGTTTGCCTCTTGGTGCCGACCTCATCTCTTCGAGCCCAATAACCAGTGCCATGCCAGAACCCACCTTGGGCACGGATGGAAACCTAATTTAGAGATGGATCATTTATCCCACGGAGCAAAAAAGGATGACCCTTCTAGGAGCCTTGGCTTCGCAGGTCCCTGCTCAGCACTCTTTTTCTGATTTTTCGATGTGTTGTAAGGCGGCATCCTCAGTTTCACGGGAGTCTCCGACCGTGTAACCTTTCGCTGATTCTTTGAGTCCCGCTTCTTACGTTGCTAGACCTACGGCAGTGGCGATTGTAGAAATCCTCCCAGGGCGCTAAAGTCTAGGCAGGAAAGCTGTAGTCACTGGGTGTCTACCCTGTGGGAGGGATACTGGAGGGACTGGCACCTTTGTATGTGCTGAAGAGATGGGATGAGCTCTCCCGTGAAGTCAGAATGTGCTCTGGGATAGTTTGCTGCTGGGCAGGTCATTTCAACCTCTGTCGTCTTCTGTTCTCCTTCCCCCAGGCCCTGGTAGGTCTTCCTCAGCCAACGAGGTTCTTTGTACCCCTTGCACTGGGCGGGTGGAGCAGGGTTTTGCTACCGCCACCAGAGGGTTGTGGCTGCCGCCGTTTCCAGGCTCAGCGGTCTGTGAGCGCGTCCCCGGCGCACTGGTGGCCTGCGCTGGAGAGCGCCACTCCCCAGCACGCTGCCTGGCACAAGGGCCAACTGGCATTTGCCCCTATGTGGACAGAAAATTAATTTTGATTAAAAGCTCACAGAAGTCAGGTTCTATATAGTGCCAGCAGTAGACAGAGTGTAAGTGATCTAAGTGAGGTCAGTTTGGACAAAGTAGCATGGTGATACTTTTTTTCTATATTCACTTTCGAAGAAGTTGGCTGATTTTGGCAAAATGACGCCAGGCTATTTGAAAAAGGCAAGCCATCTTAAAACAAAATATTTGATGGTGCTGCCGCTACTGCAGCTTCCAGAAGCTTTCGAGGATCCATTGCTTGCGATCTCCGCAGGCAGTGCGCTGCTAACTGCTTTAACTCCCTACTGAGCACCTGCTGAGAGCGGACCCTGTGCTAATCCTGGAGGAGCACAGCACTGAGCCCATGGCCGTCCGATGGCAACCACAGGGCGGTATTGTGAGGTCTGGACCCCTTGAGGACGGGCCGCAGCCCCAGGAGGCGATACATGATCTCTGCTGGGTAGGGCCCAGGCAAAGCCAGTCCACTGTTCGGGACCTGCTGGAAGAGCCCTCTGGCGGAGCCCCCAAGAAGCCCAGGGGAGACACCCCAGGAGGCTTCTAGAAATGGTGATTTGGAGAGGAATAGACTTCCATGGGTGGGCAGGGAGGAAAGGGCATTCACATTTACTGTTGTTAACCATGATCCATTTTCCCAAATAAGTATACATTCTGTTCCTGTTTTTTTTTTTGTTTGTTTGTTTTTTGTTTTTTGTCTGTCTCTGTTTTTTGTCTGTTTGTCTGTTGTGTTGACTTTTCTCTTCAGGATCCCTGCTGCCTTGGTGATCCCGGGCTGACAGCCAGAGAGCACAGCGGCTCAGCTCCTGGAGAGTGAGGGTTGAAGAAAGCGGAGGGCAGCCGCCCGCGCCCGCTGACTCCCATTAGGTCGGTTCCTGCAGCGGTGTTCAGCGGCCTTGGCGAAGGCCCTGCCTGGCAGAGATCATGTATTGCCTCCAGTGGCTGCTGCCCGTCCTCCTCATCCCCAAGCCTCTCAACCCCGCCCTGTGGTTCAGCCACTCCATGTTCATGGGCTTCTACCTGCTCAGCTTCCTCCTGGAGCGGAAGCCTTGCACAATTTGTGCCTTGGTTTTCCTGGCAGCCCTGTTCCTCATCTGCTATAGCTGCTGGGGAAACTGTTTCCTGTACCACTGCTCCGATTCCCCGCTTCCGGAATCGGCACATGACCCCAGCGTTGTGGGCACCTAACAGCCTGCCCATTTAGCTTTCCAAGGAAGCAGAAGACGGGAGGGGAGGCATTGACATAGGTCATAAAGCATTGGAGTTTCAAATCCCGCAGCCCGCGGGTGCCACATTCCTGACGGCGCCTTTTTGGCCTGTGATGTTTTATCCTTATAATGTGAATAATGGCACTGACCGGTGCTTTTATTGTAGAGTCCTATAGTCGTGGGTGGTCTTGTGGTTGTGTGTGTTCTGTCCCCATATTGGTCCCAGCTGGCAAGATGCGCCCCCCTTACCCCCCGCCTCATTCCTACGAGGAATCTGCACCCATCCTGGCCAACCACCCCAGCATGACCTGGGCAGGTAAAATGCCAAGTCTCGTCGTCACCTCTGTGACCCCCTCCTTGTCAGAGTCTCTTGCCTCCCAGAATATTCCCAAACCCTTAGCCTCCCTGCTGATTTCCCTTTAGTTCTCTTCGACTCTTTCCTTTTTCGGGAGCATCTGTCCAAGACAGGGCTCATTTTTGCACTTATCTCGAATTTAAAGAGATTGCTGACGCCCGAGAGCCTCGCTTTTTCAGCCTCCTTTCCCTGGTCAGCAGGCTAGACAGAAACGTGTCTTGACTGTTTGTTCACAAAGCTCCAGTATTTTTTTCCACTTTTTTTAAGAAAGAAGTAACGGATACATGTTGCTCTTTCACCTGGGTGCCTGGGCTCAGGCCCAGCCTCACTCCTTTGCCCTTCTCCTGCCTTCCTCAGCTGTCCCACGGGGAGGGGTGGGGGTTGTCGGCCTCATTGTGTCTCCTGTGCATGCTCTGCAGGATTGCGGTGTAGCGTGTTCACGTAGATCTAGCAGTCCCCAGCCGAGTGAGTGCGAGAGTACTTGTGTGTTTCTCAACAGCCATGATCCCTTTGATAGGTGTTTGGATATTTTTTGGTGTGCCGTAAGTGTGTGTGTACGTGTACAAATACATGTGTATATTCCTTTTAAAGAAGCTTTATCAAACGTGTTCCGATTTTGAGGTTTAGCAATAGCTAGCTATAATAGGTGCCACTACAGTTTTTATTTAGCATGGGAATTACAGAGTGACCAGCACACTGGACTCCAAGGTGGTTCAGACAAGACAGAGGGAGCAGTGACCATCGTCCTCGTGCCAGGAGCTCCTTCAGTCCTGCACATATAGACTGTACATTATGAAGACTACACAGGAAGACTTTGTGACTGTCACTTGCTTTTTTTCTGTTTCTGCGCTTCCGTACAAGTGTTGGCAGATGAGACTTTCTCCTGGCCCCTGCCCACTGGGGATCAGCATGGTTGTCCCTCCAGTCGAAACCATCCATCTTTCTCTTGCCTGAGCAGGGAGGGAGGTGGGCCAGGCAGAGGACAGAACTGGAGGCAGTCCATCTAGGAAATGGGACCTCAAGGCCACACTTGTGGAACATTTGGACTGCTATTCTGGAGCTTTTATTTCTGGTGTGTTCGTTGCACAGCTGTTTGAAATGTTTAATAAAGCTTTATAAACTTTACTTTGTGGTTTTATGTGGCTGCAGTCCATTTGGGTCGTGGTGTTGGATTTCTAAGTTGGTGGGGGGCAGAGGGTAGCATGGAGGGGCTGAGTCCTTGGCGCCAGAGTACCTTAGCCCGCAAATTTGATCTGCTCTCTGGAGAGCAGATGGTGGGTTTGGGGGAGGGGGAGCAGGGGGCAGGCCAGGCAGTGAACAAGAGGGAGTCTGAAAGTTTTCAGAGATGAGACATTTGCATTTCTCAGCTCCCATGGCTTCTCGCCTGAAACTGTTTCCCTCCATAGGAGATTTGAGTAACCGATCCCTTGACAAACAACTTAAGACAGCTGGAGCTGTAATCATCAAGGATTTTTATGGTGCTGCTTTTGAAGTAAAAATAAAGTGAAACCCCTTATGGCATCTGAAGTGGAAAAATAAATAAGGCTGGCCATCCAACCAGGGACTTAAGGCTTAAGGCAATGGCTAGAAGCAGGACTGATGCAGTTCAGTGTCGTCGATGTGCATGTGCTCCCGTGGCTGTCACCTTTGAGATAAAGCAGGGTTGTTTGGCAGAACCCTGTGCTGGGTGTCTACCTCTCAATCTCTTCTAGAAAAACAGCAGGTGCACTACCTGTCCAAGGCACAGAGCTGCTGTGAGGGTTTATTGAGATAAGAGTTGTGAAAGGTCTTTGGTAATTTCATAGTTTACCTGCTTTACCTAGATTTTTAATTTCTTGCTATAGTTTTGTGTAATTTTCCCCTGTGCTTTTAAAATCTCCCTATTGTCAGTTTTTCATTTTCTTCACTACTAGTATTGTTTATCAGTGCTTTCTCTTGATCAAAACTTGCCAAAGATTTATCCATTTTAAAGGTATTTTCAAACAACCAAACTTTTATTGATTATATCTGCTGAGTATTTTTCTTGTCTGATTCTTCAGTGCTTTTATCTCTGAATTATACTCTTCTGGGTTTCTGGATATATTTCTTGGTTCAGCAAAGTCTTAAGCTGGGGAGTCACGCATGTGGGAAGGATGGTTTGTTCAGCAAACATTGAATCCCTATACTATGCTTGCTGGGGATTTCAGGGGCAAGACCTAGGCCTGACTCTACAGAACCACATGATTCTAGCCTAGTGGGAAGACTTAAGAAAATAGACAATTGCAAATTCCAAAAACAAAACAAACAAACAAGGCTTTTGTGGCCCCACTCTCCTGTGGAGGCACCTGGATGATAAATGAAGCCAAGATTATTGCTTACTTTGCTCTCCCTCAGAAACCAACTTTCTGTTGTAGGTCAAGCCTGCTTAAGAGTCACAAACAGGCCTCCCTCTGAAAGATTTCTGACCCTTTCCAGCAGGGAGCCTGCAGCCCACCACCTCCCAAGGTGATTGCCAAATCAGCATTCTTACCACCTTACCAAGGCAGCACCAGCAGTACCCTGTCCCCTCTTCCTGAAACACCTTTCAGGAAAGTGAAAAGTAGATGCTTCTGGAAAAGAGCAGGAGCACACTCTGCAATTCTACTGGTCTCTGAGCTCCTAGTGTGACATGGTAACTGCAAGCCCCATGAGGCTTAGGTCTGGGCTTCTTTAGGAACTAGTCTGTCCTGCTCTGGGCTTAAGTTTCCTTATAGGTAAAATGTGGTCTTTGGAGCAAACACAATCTTTCTAGCACTAATACACAGGGCATCCTTTCTCTTAGGATCCTCCTGGATACATTTGAGGAAGGTGGCAGTGCTCTTGCAGGACAGCCTGCTTATGCTTTATGCTTTATGCTTTAGTCAGTGTACCATGTGAGCTCAGCTATGCCTCTTGTCAGGAAGCCTTCCTGGACTTCATCCCTCTCCCTGGAGATCCACTTGCCTAGGGCACTTTACTCAGCTCCCTGTTTAGTGCTAGTGTCAGCGCTGGGTAACTTCCTCTTCTATAGTGATTGGGCTCCTCCTGTCTCCCAAGGGGGCCTGAATTATTATTTAATAAGCAGGTCCTTGTCAGAATCCCATGCAGGAATAGGCCTTGGGGCCACACAGTGGACAGGGTGGACAGTCCATGCCACCAGGGAGTCAACCAGGCCAGTGGGAAAGGGGATGACAATGGCCAGATAATCCCACAGATATAGAGATAGAGATAGAGATAGAGACAGAGATAGATATATACACACATACTGGATTGTAGCAGGTGCCATAAGAGGGGCCTGAGAGGGGATCTGATGTAGGCTGGGGAGGACTGCTGTTCAGACTGACATCTGAGGACAAGTGTAAATGTTTGAACAGTGAAATAAATGAGATATTATTTCCCACCATTTGATCAGGTATTTCTGTGCTTATAGATAAAGTGACTGGGCCAAAAGTAAAATGAAAGACCACTTCTACTTGGCTACCCTGCAATTGGAACCCCAAAATGCCTTTTGACTTAAAAATCAGTCTGTTTAAAGCTAGAGGACTGTGTTGGGACTTACAGAGGAGGTCTACAGCTGACATGGCGGTGGCATACCCCAAAACTCAGCCCCAAGAACGCTTCAGTTTCTAGCTGACTGGAACCATCACAAACAAGGATCTGATGGGAATAAGGGGTGACCCAATCAGAACAGCATTCAAGGTGGGACCTTGTCAATAGGGAACAGGATAGCATTTGAGCTGTGAAAGCAGCAGGACTGTCAAGAAGGTCATTGCCCTGGGGAGAAGTAGCACTAAGGTGTGATGGCAGGCAAGGTGGGGAAGGCAGGAGGACAGAGAAAGGTGATAGAAGGAAAACTGACTCCCGTTGAGCAGCTGCAGGAAGGGAGGCCAGAGAAGGATTGTCAGAACCCAGTGTGCTGACATCCAGGACAGAGCTCACAACTCACCCCCCACCCCACATCCCCTTTGTAATGGGTGAAAGAGTCACTGCTCTGGAAAGAGGAGAAAACTAAGATGTGCTCACCTCAGCAAATGATGGAAACTGATCCTGACCGTGAGGGGCTTACCAGTACTCTCCCTTCCCAGTGTCTTCCTGAAAGCCAGAGTTTGGTCTACCAGGCTTCTGACAGAGAATTCCATATCTTGAGAAAAACTTGATTATAGAGTGGGCTCAAGGTGAAGGTAGGAAGCTGGCTAAGCAGCAGCTAGAGGCTTCAGACTGAAGTCCTTGGTCTCCCTTTGGGCTATCAGGACTCAAAACAGTGGGATGCGGTGAACTTGGGGAACAGTTTAGGACTGATGAACCTTGAGAGGAGAGGCCTCTGGGATTCCCAGGCCCTATGCCTTTGTCTCTGTGTCTCTGCCCCCCTGAGTCTCAGTTTCCTCACTTGTAACACGGATATCATAGCATCCACCATAGCCTGACTCAAGGTGAAGTCTCCCCAATGTTATTTCCTATCTTCTGTGGCCCCCCACCATCGACCATTATTGATCTCAGGCCTGGATGTGATCTGATCATCAAGCTTTCCCTCTCATTCATTCATGTAAGGAGCATTGGCCAGGTCCTGTGCCAACTTCTGAGAACCTGATGCAGAATAAGACTAGGCCCTCCTTGAGGGGCTCAGCTCAGTGAGAGGGAGGGCAGCAGCAAGTCCTGTAAGCCAGTGATTACAATGCCATGTTGTTCAGACTATAGTGGGGTTAGGGAGAGAAATCATTTGGGAACCCATATGTTAGGACCTCAGCGTGTATGTCTTTATTTTCTACAAGCCCCAAAACGACAACATCCTAAAAAGGGAAAGAAATACCAAGGCATAGCTTTTTCTTAAGAGGCCAAAATCCTGACTTTGTGTCCCTGCTTGGCCACCAGCTTGCTCACCATGGATTTCCCCCCTCTTAGAGAGAAATTGCTGCCTATCCCACCTTTTCCTCATGAAGAACCAGTGTAGGGATATGTTTGAGTGCTCTGTCAGATTATGGGTTGCGCATGACCCTTCTCCAAAGACTAATCCTTTGAGTGGTTCTGCCTCTTACCTCTTTCTGGGCACTTTGGCCATTTGTAGAAAGTCTGCACTTGGATATCTCACCACTTCTTCCAAAGCTAAACCCTCTGCCAATTCCCTGCACCCACACTGATAGTGGCAGCCCAGGGTAGGTAGGGGTGGAGGCGGGGAGCTGAGGCCCTGGGCCTGATCCTCACCCACTTCCCATGTGACCTTACTCTGATCTGCTCGCTCTTCTGTTTGCTCATCTATACTCCAAGGAGGGTGCTATACCAGGAAGTCTTTTAACATTTCCAAAGCTATCTTCAGTGAAACATCAGTGAACTTTACCCTTGTTATTTTAGTCTTAGAGATATTGCTTGAAAGAAAGTGTGTTAAAACAAGCAAGTGTTTAATCAAAGGATTTTTTGCGTTAAAGAATAAACTTTAAATCTCTTAGATGCAGAACTGTCAAGAATCTTAGCTTAGAGTCAAGGCAGACTTGGAAGGGTTTCTGAGGGAGGAAGACAGACAGCCCTTTAGTGGTTCCCTGTTGCCTGTGGTCCCAACTTCTTAGCTTGGCCATCAAGACCCTGCACAACCCTGAGGGTGGGGCTTGTCTTTGTCCCCCTGCCAGGTACAGTACCTTCCTGACCAGGTCTGGCAGCGAACCTGCTGGTGTCTGGCCAGGGGGCTAAATGGGTAGATGGCCCAATCAATCTAGACTCCCTAAGGAATTAGATGGCCCAGTCTTTCCTAGAACTAATGGAATTGAGTTTGCCTCCCAAGTCTCCTCTTGGCAACTCTGAAGTGACAATATTTTCCAGCCTCCGGACTAATATTTTATATGCAAGTACCACAGACACTAATATCTTGCAAAGATATGTGAGAAGAACCTCATAAAAGCTCCACAGCCTGGTGTCCTCACTGGGTCTCAGTTTCCCCATTTGTAAAATGAGATGGTTGGACTAGATAATCCTTGAGCTCCTTTCTAGCTCTAGCATCACTCTCAGATGCCCTGGTGCCTAGGGCAGTAATTGGGCAGGGGACACGATGACCCCGGGACCTGGGTCCAGTCCATATCTTGGAGCATGGAGGAATCATGCTGATGGCTGCCGCATCCTTGGTGATGAATTTGACAGGAACT